GTTTGGAGTTTGAGAAAAACGGCTCTAAAGTTTCCCCTTTGTTTCTGCTTCCAAAAGATAGATCTACGCTTCGGGACGACCTGACAACACATTCGCTACTCTCGTCCTCCCAATCCCCTTTTTCTTTGTGTTTGTTACTCTCTTGTAACACCTCTACTCTTCGGCACTTATAATATGACCTGATTGTGTTGCAAGTGCCGTAAAACACTTACTAAACAACACAAACGCTTTGAAGCGAAACTTTTTCTGAAGATCGAATAAAATGGCAGTCATGACAGTGTGCAGTCTAGGAATACAAATCTATGACATATCCTCAGAGGAGTTAAAGAAAAAAAAAAGAAAACAAAACAAAAACAAAATAAAAACTTGTGCACCCAATACCCCAGCCGAGTTGCCGTCCTCTCGTCCACTCGTTCACATCATCCCCACAACTTCCACAAACGTTTCCCGTTCCTTTCCGACCCCCACACCACTCAGACCACAGCCTATTCACACAATGTTTTGAGAGAGATCTAAAACGTGTGAATAGACTGGTTCCAACGTGTGAACATTGCTTTGAAATCTGGGAGATCAACGTCATTGGTACAGGTTTGTTTGCTTAAATGGGACGCATTTCTTTATTGACCTAGCACTACTGTACTATTTCAAGTGCCCGGGGTACGTAGGTGAAATGAGATGACAGACGCAAATAAATTAGAAAGGATAAAAGAACGGACGAATAGATGGAAGGACGGAAGGAAGGACGGAAGGGCGAATGGATGAACTCACGGAGTCACGGGAAGGGTAAATGGGACGTGACATAAGTAGATGCACCCTCCAACCACCCGCTGAGTTTGAGAGTCCGTGGGAACGAAAGGAAAGCTATTTGTTACAAAACTTGTTTTTAATTGAGATCGGGGTTTTAAAACCTCGTTCATTTAAAGATAGGGCAGGACAGAGCTTCTTTCTGTGGGTGTTGTTTTGTTTTTGTTTTGTTTTTCTGGGGGGTCGTTGATTGAGTGTCTGTTTGTTGCTTTGTTTGTGGTTGGTTGGTTGGTTGGTGGTTGTTCTCTCTTATGTCTCTCTCTCTCTCTCTCAATATCTCTCTCCCTCTCTCCTTCTCTCTCTCCCT